CTTTAAGCGATGAGGGATGTTATTGAGGTCTTCATGAATGGGAAGGAAACTGTTTATTACATTAACCCCCCCCCCCCTGGTCTTCGCACCTGATTGGCTCACAAGTGACATCACATTTATCCCTCTATTTAAGACATAAACAGGAGGATTTTCCCACAATTATTGCTGTCACTTGATGAGGCTGGTTGTAAATGTTGTGGATTACTAATGCCAATTGTAAGTGGCATGTTTTGTTTATGTGGCAAACCTTACCAATTGGCTGTATTGGGTGGTGGTGGGTTTAACGACACATTTATATTTATGCAGTCTAATCCAAAAACTTATATTACAGTTATATTGTATTATCAATGTAACATGTGTGCAAGCACGCTTAGTGTTTTTAGTATTTACTGCTGAATGAAGGCCTCCCCGTGACGCGTGCGTCATGGGGGTTATTTGACCATACTTTGCCATTCAGTTTAATTCCTATGATTTTATAATTGAGATATTTCATCCGGGAAATTATTTGATAATTTTGCGCTCTTGAAATAGGGTTTACCACCTGTAAAATTTAATGTGTGTTCGGGTGGGAGGAATATATTTGTGCTGAAATGTGGTGGTAATGGTGGCAGGCTGTACAAATATGTAGGAGTTCGTCCGACATCACGACTCTACTTAGTGCCCAGAGCGCTCCCTCCCTCTTCCCCATCTCAGCAGCGCTGCCTTGCTGGCTTCCAGGGTCAACTGCAAGTTTCCCCCGGTAAGGTGATGCTCAGGTAAGAACCTCTATGAACACGGGGAGGGGAGTAGATGGGGGGAGGGGGACGCAAAGCTCTGACTATCCTGACTGTGAATGCAAGTACGTGATGTCGAACCGCACCCTCTTTTACAGGTACAACACCTGGGGTATGGGTTGACCTTCCAAGAGAAATGTCTCTCTGCGCGCCAAACCCATTTGGCGAGTTATACTGTAGATTAATTAATGTTGCGGATGCTGCCAAGGTGTAAAACAAAAAGTAGTTATGAAGGACTAACTCCTAATGTGCTGCTGGAACTCAAGTTTCCTACCAAGTGCAAACAAAGACTTAAAGGAATTTAATAAAAAAAAATTTAATCTGGTAACTAACGAAGCGGTTTTGCATGTTAACGGCAGAATGAATTTGTACAATACACCGCGTGTGTAACCATGCCGGATATTTTTTATAGCCCATTGTTAATCCACTGCTGGATGAGGGCCTCCCCATTACGTGTAAGTCATGGGGATTGTTTGATCATACTTCAATACGTTTGTCAGTTTAATTAAATGCTTTGGATTCAAATGTTTCACCTGGGAAATTATTTGGATTATTTCGTGCTCGTGTGAGATAGAGTTTCTACCTCAGAAATCAAAACTGCACTGGGTGTTAGGCATTCATGTGTACTGAAATCTGGTTGTATTCTGTTGCACTTTGTCACAGTACACGGCACAGTGTCTGAGAAGCATGTCCCGGCTTGGTCTACAGTGGACAAGGTGGTAACCACATCTTTACCCCAGATAATCAATCGGACTCTGGTGTTGTTCCCGTTCTGTTGCAATGTGCACTCATGCCTGCTTTATTTGAGGGCGATATTGGCACATAAAATACAGATTGATTGAATCGAGTTAACCATGTATGAATGCCTTGGGCACTACAGTACTGCAGTTTAGTCGCTCGTGTGACGTAGTTCTGTTCACTCAATCGCGTTATATCCAATGCACATCCGCGTTATAAAAAATATGTTCTGTAATATATTCATTACGTTAGATCAAATTCGCGTTATGAAGACGCGTTATAGGAGAATAGACTGTGTGCTGAACGTATTTCGCAAGAGCTTTCTCCAGTATGCATGGGATTCTGCAGACACTTTCGTTTCCTACCAAATGCAAAAAATAGACTTAAAGGAATTGGATAAACATATAAAATGTGGCCACTCATGAAACTGTTTTGCACGTGGCATTGGCAATGTGAATTGGTACAATGGAACACGTATATAAACATGGTGTTTTTTACAGGCCATTGTCAATCCACTGTTGGATGAAGACCTACCCGTTACGTGTGGGTCATTGGGGTTGTTTGACCAGACTTCATCACTTTAGTCAGTTTCATGACATTTATTGAAAATTTCACCTGGAACACCCCTTGAGATGGAACCTCCCTTGAGATGGAACCTCTCGTTTGTACGGCTGTCCAGGATTTGGATTGACACATATATAGCAAACACGTTATGGGACTATACATACGTTTTCAATCTATAACTTATACCGTTTGCACTCTATTGTATTCGACTAGTCTTATCAAGGCATTATAATGAAAGTGACAGTCAAAAGTTCATGTCAAAGCAGTTTTAGAATTTGTATAAGTACAAAAAAAACAACCCACAAAGGTGCATACTTCATTAGCTTTCCCATACCACTCCTGGCTAAAGAGCCCCAACTGGAGAGAGACTCTTAGGGGTGTTTTGTCTAGTCTCCCACGTTAAACCAGACGTGTTGGAAGAGGTGGGTGTACCCATGGGCGGAGTTTGGGGGGAGGGGGCATGGGGCAAAACCCCGCCCAAACTGGGCAGCTTTATTAATTTATTTAAATAAGTTAACAATTAAGATTAAAATAAATTAATTATTTACATGCACGATTCCTAATGTGAGGGACAAAGCGAACCCCTGCACCCCCCCCACCCCCCCCAAATATAGAAGTCAAACTCGCCCGAGGGGCATACCGACACTTAACCCCATCACCCGCGAACTGCCGAATCGACTGACCTGTAGCGTACCATTTATACTGCTGGGTGGATTAGAGGTGGGAGAGTTACGAACCTTGTTTTTCCCCCAACATGTTGATCTCTATAATGCGAGTCAAGTGTGATTACTTTCACATTGCAGCAGCATCCTTGCTGTGGGTTATTTTAATTCGTTGGTCGGTATGCTCTCAAAGCGTTTCACATTAGGGGCCGTCCATAAATGACGTCATGCACCTGGGGGGGGGGGGATCAGACATTTGTGTGACAAGAGGGGGGGGGGGGTTGAGAAATGTGACGTCACATAAAAATGTGCAACTTTAAATAAATATAGACAACACGTTCTACTTAATTAAATATACTTTTTAGTAAATGTTTTCTCCTACAACATCAGAGTGCAGCGCCACATTAAATACGCACTTACAATGACAATAGTTTAAGGCGATTTGAAGCATGTTTTATATTTGGGGGGGAGGGGGGGCGAGCTCTGTGACGTCCTATTTGAGGGGGGGTCTGACTTCTTGTGACGCCGTGTGACGAAGGGCGGGGGCTCAAAAATCGGCCAAAATCGCGTGACGTCATTTATAGACGGCCCCTTAGCACCCTACGTCCGTGTACAGTGCCCTGTACTTTCCAATAAAGGTTGAGGGAAAGCAACAGTTTTGAAATGTGTTCCGTTGAATGCTATTGTTTTCAACCAAACAAAAAAGGCAGTAGATGTCGTATAGATCGTAATGACACCGCCAAAGGTGCGCATGGGACGGTGCAGTCGTCCTTAATAGGCTCTCACCAAAATCAATGGTTCTGAAAAAAGCGAGTTGCAGTGATATATATTGAACGTCTAACTCTATCGCACCTTCCCCTCCGACTCAGCCACTATGTGCCTACATTCACCTCTCTGCGTCACCGTCCATGTTCGGTCGAATTTAGCGTGGACTGTGGAGAGGTTTGCGCCTTATATACGTACGGTGCGAAAGAAGTTCAATATACATTAAAAAAAACTATCCAACTGTCCTCTTGTCCAAAGTGTTCTCACATTCAATGTCTCTACTGTAATATCCGCATTCGCCATTCTATTCTCTGTTGTTTCGAAATTTGGCTGCTTTGTTTACTGATGGTATCCGTAGCTACTGCTGCTGCTTTGCATACATGTAAATAATTTACAGACAATTAAGGAATTGTCGTCATTGGTCTGTTTGACGTCATTACGTGTATTCTTTAATTATGTAATTCACATTCAATTATAAAAACACTTATTATACAGTCGCAAATACACTTTTTATGAACGTTACTTATGTACCACTTTATTGTAGGCCTAATTATTTACATGCACGACTACAAGTTTCTCTTGACATTTAAATGTGTCTATATAGGTTCTATATGGCAGGGAGACGTGGTTGATGACTCCATATTTAAACAACAAACTGGACACCTTTGACCGGTGGTCCTTCCGATGGATACTTCAGTTACACTTCAGCGAGCATATCACAAATTCTTAAGTCCAGCACGTCAGCCGGTGTCTGACATCGAACCAGGAGACACATTGCCCGTGCTGACATGTTGGCAGATCCGCGCAATTATCGATGGCCTTGCTCGAGATTGGACGCTGCCCAGGGGCAGGCCGAGGTAGACCTGGATGCACACCGTTGGGGCCGATCTCAGACATCGTAATCTCAGCCTACACTTGGTGTGGCATCGGACGCATGAGAATGGCATGCCCAGGCGATGTACAGTATTGAGGATCGCTACACCTCCTCTCGGGGCATGCGACTAATTGATTCAAATGGGTGCTCGTCTTTGACCAAATTATCCGATATGCACCCGATCTTGTCAGATGATCGCAAAAGCTAAGCAAGTTTTGAGACTGTATATCACCTGAATGGGCAATCACCGTGCACAGCAGGTTGTCAAAGGCTGCTACAGCAGACTACGCTGTAGTCGGTAGAAGGCAGTGCAGCAAAATCCAATGTTGTATTGCACTACTATGCTTCCACATCTATGCCCCCTGCTTCACTCACTCGGCTAACCAACATGAAGTATAGTAAAATAACCAATTCGACCTGGACGGTGCAGGGAGGCTTTTTGTCCAGGAGAGGGTTTGCAAGAGAGCTGAACATATACTGTTCCTCATAGTGGCAGTTATTTAACATGACAGCCGAGAAGCAACGATCACAATAATTATAACGAGCACCCGCGGTATGACGATCTGTGATTAGTGGCAGGAGATGAGGAGACATGGTCCGAGATGTCACAATGCGATTGGCAACTGGCAATTAGGTGACAGTAATGAGGGGAGGGGCAGGGAATGGGAGAGGGACCTGTGGGGATAAGAAGGCACGTCGGAAGAGGGATGTGAGGAGAGAGCTGTGGATGAAGGAAGTAGCTGTGTTTTACAGAGGTGGAATAAACGGATTTGAACCCTGACCTGTCACGGCGTGTTTGTGAGGAGAGTATCCGCGACAGTAGAATTGGGCGTAAAGCAACCAAATTTATGAGAGACCCCTTTGGCCTCTTTCATCCAAAATGTATCCTCGTGCAAAAAATATGGCAGGCAGTGTCAACCAATGGTAAGTAAGCACATGCCCAAAGTATAAAATTTTACAAGACACCCACGTGTTCTCTATCTCCCCCTCACCCCGCGCCCCGGTTGAATAACTAATAATGGAACTGAGAAACCATCAAACACATTACACACATAAACTCAATTTAATGTTAAATTATGACCTATAAATCGAATTTTGGGCCTCATTGGACTCTCACAGCTCGGCTGAGCGGCTCCCAGGCTGCCAAAACTTGCGGCTAAACATGATGCGGATGGCGTTACGAAACGTGCGGTTGAAGCCCCCATATAGGTAAGGGTTGATGGCTGAATTAACGTGCCCGAACCAGTTCACGATGTCCCAGAAGATGGAATTTGTTTTAAAATCGATCCAGGGATCATTGACGATGGTGGAAAAAAATGGCGCCCAGCAGAACATGAAGACGCCCAGGATGATGGACACGGTCTTGGTGGCATTGTGCTCTCGTTTCATGGCCGCCCACTGCTGCTTGTTGAACCCCGACTTGCCCTGACTCCCTTGTTGCTGAACGCTGATGGAGCGGGCCTGCTTGCGTGCCACGCGGTAAATCTTCACGTAGGCAAGGGTCATTATCGTCATGGGCACGACGAAGCTGAAGAAGGCCCCACAGCTCGAGAACACCTTGTTCATGTAGAAGACACAGTTGTCTGGACAGGTGCGGCTCGCCATCATGTCCTCGATGCCAATGACAATCCATCCCAGCATCACGGGCACCACATAGAGCAGCGACCCGAGCCATGCGGCGGCAAGAAGCAGGGCTGCTGTCTTCCAGGTGAAGCGCTCTCGATAGTGCATTGGGTCGCAAATGGCCAGGTAGCGGTCGTAGGCGATGCAGCAAAGGTGCATGGTGGAGGCGGTGGAGATGAAGGCGTCAAGGAAGTGGTGCACCTTGCAGAACGCGTGGCTGTAGAACCAGCAGTCGTAGACGCACTGTGTCATGTAGAAGGGCATCACCACCACGCCCACCATGATGTCGGCCACTGCGAGGGAGAAGGTGAAGGTGTTGGGCAACACCTGCAGCTGCTTGAAGTAGGAGATGGCCGTGATGATGGTCATGTTCCCCAAGAAGTTCAACACCATGGAAAAGATCATGGCGATGAAGATTATGTTGGCGGTGCGTGCGGACAGTCGTGCCGGGCGGCAGCGGAGGCCGGACTCCCGGATCAGGCAGAGCAGTGGCTCCACATGGGAGGCATTGTGGCCAGGATCCCCGTCCATGAGTCCCAGAGCCAGGCTAGAGTTCATGGTCCCCCCCTTCGAACTTCTCAGTGTCCAGCGTCTCAATCAGTCAAGGGGTTTCTGCTTGCTTCACAGTTGTTCGTTCGCCAACTTGTCCACTGTTCCTTGCAAGCATTTGTCTCACCCCTCTCATTCACCCAGCGTCAGTGTCTGGGGCAAATAAATCCAATATCTCGTGACCGTCTCTGTTTCTTACAAGTTTGGGAAAATGAAAAGCATCTTCTAAGATGTTTGGCCACTTCCTGTCCTTGAGCATTCGGTATGTCCACTTGTAGGAGGAAATAGGAAGTCCTGGAGAAAAACCTGCAACCATTCGAGGGGAGAGCAATAAAAACTCAGCAATAGATATATCCTCTCAGTAACCTACACCATATTCTGGATCAGATTCAGCCAAATTCTAATTTAAAGGTAAATACTATAGTTCTTACTGTCATATCTATGGTACATATTTGCCAGTATAAAATTTATGAAAAATAAGAATAGGTTTTACACTTTCTGGCAATAAAATAGGTGTTAAGATGTTCATACAACGAAATAGATACCTTTTCCAAGGCATCAAGTCTCCATACCTGTGGCAAAACATGTAAACAAACATGCTCTGATAATATGGGCATTATCCTTTAAGCTGATTGGCCTACAACTGTCTCTGGTACCTAATTTGGTGTTTGAACATCTTAACACCTGTTTTATTGCCAGAAAGGTTTAAATATTTTATTTTTCATCAGTTGTTATGGTTTTTGTCGATAAACTTCCAAGACTGTTTCCCTCTGTCTCCATGTATTCGTATTTTGTCCTCTGATTACATTGTTCTGTATTATATCCTAAAGCATTGTGCAATACAACTAGTTCCTGAAGAACTGCATGAATAATAATATTTAGTTGGAAATAACGTTGCGCATGTCAATTGAATCTCACACTCGCTCAGGCACCACAGAAAAGCTGGCAAGCAGCCAGGCGGGAAGCCGTAGTCAACAATTGCCAAAGCGTTCTCTGTCATTCGGTCTGCCTCCCTTTGCATGTCTAGATTGGTCCATCTTTGTCTCCCTATGGTTCTCTCTGGGACTGGGTCCGCATCCTGTTTGTCCCCTTGTCTTCCTCTGTCTATTATATGTCTCCTATGTCTCTCTGCTAGGAAACTAATTGTCAGAGTAAGAGGACATGGTTCCAAATTTCATACTTGAAGAAGTAACCATTGCTCTTCGCAGTATTAAAACAGGGAACGTTCTTGTACCAGATGGAATGAGTTTAACACGTAGGCTTTCACGAACAGTATTATTCATAATAAATGTTTTTTTAGTTAGATCGCGTTATTTATAAATGTGTCGCAACCCTTCAAAACCCGATACGGCCAATCATTAAAAAATGTATCACGTTGACAAAAGACAAATAGTTCACTACTTTAGCTCACCGATGTGTTGAAGAGTGAATCCACAACATTACAATTTGAGTACGACGTCTTATTATGAACAGATGGAATGACTGTGCATCATAGACAAGACAAATGGTATCAGCTGTTGCAACACAATGAGTAGATAGATTTACTACGAAATGTTTACACTAACAAATTCATTATTTGCCACGATAATTTTTTTACAATTTAAATAGAGAATTTAATACAAGCTTTTGTGACCAATATTATCCATAATAGAGGTTGTTTTGTGCTAAATCACGTACAGTGAGGGAAAAAAGTATTTGATCACCTGCTGATTTTTAACGTTTTCCCACGACAAATGATCAGTTTCTAATTTTACTGGTAAGTTTCTTTGAATAGTGAGAGACAGAATAACAACAACAAAATCCAGAAAAATGCATGTCAAAAATGTTATACATTGATTTACATGTTAATGAGGGAAATAAGTATTTGACCCCCTCTCACTCAGAATTTTTTTTGGCTCCCAGGTGTCTTTTATACAGGTAACGAGCTGAGATTAGGAGCACACTCTTAAAGGGAGTGCTCCTAATCTCAGCTTGTTACCTGTATAAAAGACACCTGTTCACAGAAGCAATCAATCAATCAGATTCCAAACTCTCCACCATGGCCAAGACCAAAGAGCTTTCCAAGGATGTCAGGGACAAAATTTTAGACCTACACAAGGCTGTAATGGGCTACAAGACAATCGCCAAGCAGCAAAAAAGAGAAACACAAAAGAACTGTCAATCTCCGTCGGCCTGAGGCTCCATGCAAGATCTCACCTCGTGGAGTTGCATGATCATGAGAACGGTGAGGAATCAGCCCAGAACTACACGGGAGGATCTTGTCAATGATCTCAAGGCAGCTGGGACCATAGTCACCAAGAAAACAGTTGGTAACACACTACGCCATGAAGGACTGAAATCCTGCAGCACCCGCAAGGTCCCCCTGCTCAAGAAAGCACATATACATGCCCGTCTGAAGTTTGCCAATGAACATCTGAATGATTCAGAGGACAACTGGGTGAAAGTGTTGTGGTCAGATGAGACCAAAATGGAGCTCTTTGGCATCAACTCAACTCGCCGTGTTTGGAGGAGGAGGAATGCTGCCTATGACCCCAAGAACACCATCCCCACCGTCAAACATGGAGGTGGAAACATTATGCTTTGGGGGTGCTTTTCTGCTAAGGGGACAGGACAACTTCACCGCATCAAAGGGACGATGGACGGGGCCATGTACCGTCAAATCTTGGGTGAGAACCTCCTTCCCTCAGCCAGGGCATTGAAAATGGGTCGTGGATGGGTATTCCAGCATGACAATGCCCCAAAACACACGGCCAAGGCAAAAAAGGAGTGGCTCAAGAAGAAGCACATTAAGGTCCTGGAGTGGCCTAGCCAGTCTCCAGACCTTAATCCCATAGAAAATCTGTGGAGGGAGCTGAAGGTTCGAGTTGCCAAACGTCAGCCTCGAAACCTTAATGACTTGGAGAAGATCTGCAAAGAGGAGTGGGACAAAATCCCTCCTGAGATGTGTGCAAACCTGGTGGCCAACTACAAGAAGCGTCTGACCTCTGTGATTGCCAACAAGGGTTTTGCCACCAAGTACTAAGTCATGTTTTGCAGAGGGGTAAAATACTTATTTCCCTCATTAAAATGCAAATCAATTTATAACATTTTTGACATGCGTTTTTCTGGATTTTGTTGTTGTTATTCTGTCTCTCATTGTTCAAATAAACCTACCATTAAAATTATAGACTGATCATTTCTTTGTCAGTGGGCAAACGTACAAAATCAGCAGGGGATCAAATATTTTTTTCCCTCACTGTACATATAAATGCGTGATTAAACCCCCCACCACCCGGTACAGGCAATTAATCAGGTTCTCACGTAAACAAGACATACAAATTAGTTACTAGTTTAGCACACCGGTGTGTTGGAGAGTAAACCCACAACATTTACAATTCGAGTACGACGTATCGCTGATAATTACAACTAGTACCATCAGGTGATAGCCAGATTTGTGGAGAAATACTCCTGTTTCAAAAAGCATCTATTAAATACAGAGACAAACCTTATTTGGAACATTATATATGCGTACAAAGTGTTCTCGAAGATCATAAGGGAATAAGCGACAAATCGGAGGTGACAGTTAGCCCGCGGACCTTGGTTTTGACAGCCTTTCAATACAAATATTTAATAATCTCCAGAGCGTCTTAATACGATAGGCATTGGTAGACGCTGTACATAACCACTATTCTACTGATATTAAATAATGCGTGAAGGAACACCACGTACCTTAGACACTTTCCACCGTGATTTATTATTCGTTTATTTTCGGTTAGATCGTCGTGTAGGTATAATGTCAATTAGTTTCAATCATAACCCTCTGCCACTCGGCAGAGTCAATCAAATCGAGTTTTCACGTTGGGGAAAATTAGCCAAATGATTTGGATTGTCAGCAAAACCCGGAGGAATGTTAACGTTGGTGTTTTTTTTTTAAATCGACGTTTCGCTGGGGATTACATTCAGCAACATCGCGTGTGAATAAAAAGCTCGGCTCCTAATCACGCTGGATGTAATCTCCAGCGAAACGTCGATTAAAAAAATAAATGTCAACTTGGTATTCGCTTTCAACATTTCCCCTCCTCCTCCAGTTTTGACAGAAAACTGAAATCATTTGGCGTATTTGCCCCGACGTGACATCTTTCATTGACTATGTCGAGTGGTGGAGGGTTATAACACTGGTCAACAAAACAAAAGTTTTTTTCTGGCCTGGACTTTTGCAGCTGTTTTAGGCTAATTTCATGGTGCTGATTCCAAATATGATCTCAGATTTGCTCTATCACATCTCATTTTTATGCTATCGGCATACCCCATTTTCATAGATTTTACCCGAAATTAACTCTGTCACTTATTATTGCAAGTTGTTGCGAGTCAGTGACTGCTGTAGTGTTAAAATATGGTGCTGTATTTTTAGGATAGTGTGTTTATAATATCATTTTATGTAGATATCCACATTTATTTAATATTTTTCTTCTGCAGTTTTGATTGAAAATGCAATATTTGATATCTCAAAAACCTGATGTGGTAGACAAAAAACTGATGCCAGATTTGGAATCAGCACCCCAAATTTACCTTAATACCGTTGGAATACCTTATGCCAGAAAAAGTGTGTTGACCAGTGTAATTGATACATCTAACATTTTTTTTTTATTTTACATTCCACGACGATCCAACCCAAATGAAACCTAATAATAATAATCATAAATATTGGTTGTGAAAGAACTACGTGTCAAAAAATACCCAGTGACCTAGCACATATACCAGTAAAAGGCTACATTTAATAGAATAAAAATGGTAGTAAATGCTAAAATCGAAAAACACACTCTCCGGCTAGATATGTAAAGATATACATTCTTATAAGGGAGAACATATTTAACATGTAAGACACGATCATACACAACCTATATGCGACATACACACACAGAGACGTGTATAGCAGATGCTAACACACATTAACATAGACTAGATGTATAGTATACATACACACAGACATAAAGGTCCCTCGTGTAACCGTTAACAGACTGTTGGGGCGAGTGCTGTGACCGTAAACAGCACACACGGGGATGGTGTGGCCAGCACCGCGCCTGGCCACTTTGGTTTTTCCAGTCCTGATATTTACCACACACCGCACCGGGTTTTCACTTAAGGCTGAATCGACATAGGGGAGGCACAGGACCGGTTCAGATATCCGTCATTAACAAAACTATGAAAAAAAAATATTTTACCAGGTAAGGTGCACTGCTATGTAGCTGATTTTTTTTAGAAGCGACCTGGCCACATATGATAGCTCAACGAAGTGCTTTATGATGTGGAAATGTATAGCAGACAAATACTCTAAACGCATGAGTCAAAATGTGGAGGGAAACACCGGATAAAAATCCACGCGACCATGGGGAGAGAGAGAGATAACACACAAATTCCCAAATATACAGGCGTCAGGGTCGGGAACGAACACACAACCTCCTGTATACCAGGTGAGGAAGTTAACATCCCACCACTGTGGCGCCCCCTGATGTTGGCAGTGAACGAACCATTCCACCACCGTTCTCCATACATCAACGCACACATGTACACAAAGAGTCTATAACTCGCCACTGATAAACGCGATACAAAACGACACTTATGTAAACACGGGGGAGCGGTGGTGCCGTGATTAGCGCTTGCGTTACGAGCCGGGCGACCGGATATAACGTCAGTTAAATCATCTCCGATCAGCGCGGTTGGCTTCGTACGGTGCGAAAGAAGTTAAACATACATACATCAGTGGCAAGTGGTGTCTTACTGGTCCTGGGCAACCGCCCTTCACCAACCTGTATTGACCAGCGTGGTGAAGCACGGTTAAGCAACCCCCACGACCGTAAATTATGACACAAATACATAACTAGTCGATATTTGTGTACACGCATTGACATATTCAATAAGCGCATGGAGACAGTATACACGCATACACATTTAATAACCACAGAGCCTACGTGTTAAATAGACAGACACGTATTTATAACATTTACATCCATTTATCAATCGACTGCTGGGTTAAGATTTCCTCTATGCCGTGTTGTTAAATTATACTTCACCACGCTGGTTAATACAGGTCAACGAGACAGACAGAAGTAACGGAGTTACCACACACTACTAAGATACAACCGACACATAGGGGGAGCGGTGGCGCAGTGGTGAACGTACTGCGCCACGAACCTGGCGACCTGAAGTCCATTCCCGAGCAAGACCAACATCAATGGCGAGGGATGTGAACCGGTCCCGTATAGCCTTGAACAGACTGGTGGGGAAAATGCTGTTGGCAAGCACCCATGAAGATTGGCACGGCACACAAGGTGGTGTGGGCAGCACCACGCCCGGCCGCCTTTATCTCCCTAGTGGCGATGTATACACACCGCACCAGCTACTCATTTGAGGCTGAATCGACCTAGAGGAAGCCCATGACTAATTTAGCTCGTCATTGGTATCGGCCGTGAACGGGTATCGAACTCGGACCGCCGGGTTCGCAGCGCAGTGCGCTAACCACTGCACCACCGCTCCCCCCCACACAGAGTGACACACAGAAGCAAACATGCAGTGCATATAATACTAGCCTAGCGGAACGAGCCACGATCTAGGACGTTCCCGCGGAGATGGAGCGATGAAAGTGGCTCTTGAGATATGACAAAGGGCTTGGGGGGGAGGGCAGGAGACCTTCATCCAGCAGTGGATAGACCACGGCTAATGACAATGCTATACGGGGTTGCGCTTACCTGGCCCACACGGGAAGCACCCCACGAAACCGTAGAGAACGTGTGGATGTGAAGATCGACCTCGCTCCACAACACGCGGTGTCGTATTTACTGCCTTGTCTGCAATATCCTGTGGGTCTGACTGTTGATTCTGAGCGAGCAATTCGCCCCCTTTTTGACATCAGATGCGGATTTCATTTCAGCACATTTATTAAAAATACACACAAAGAAAGAGACACCCCGTATAACCTATATAGACACGGCGTGTTGTTTGCGAGCTCCTATTATTGTCGTTGACAAATGAGTTATTAGCCGGTGAGGCAAGGGCATCGACCTCTGTTGGGGGTGCTGGGGTCAGATCCGCGCCTCACTGCCTTCGTCCCTCCGTTCGTGACGATTTAAAACTAGCGTCAACGTTAACACAATTTAAGGCCGAGTCAACCTAGACGAGTTATCGTCGTCGGCGGTGCGGAAGGTTTGCTCACGGTGTCCCCTCTCTTCTGCCTCCTGCCCCTCGCCCGACCCCATTTGTCTTCCCAATACAATGCCTCGTTACTTTTCAGCCCCCCAGCGTTCTGTCGACCCTCAGCTACGACCATGGCCCCAACACCTCGTCATCAATCCCTCTTGTACTACCGTCATCAACACTACACCACCACTGATACAATAACCCAATTATTCATTTCAAATCATGGTCATCCGATGTATGTTATAATTGCTCTAAAGCACCTTGGTAAAGGCGCTATATATACAGTATCTTGAGAAGATAAGATCGGTTTAGGTAAATGACTTGCCACGGAGTCTAACCCAGGATGACCGAGATCGCAGTGCAGTTGGCGAAACACGGTGCCACACCGCTCCTGGCTTGAAACTCGGATCGCCGGGTTTGTTGCGCGGTGCTGCACACCCCACACAGACGTGAAATGAAGACAAAGACCGCTCCCTATAATAGATTGTTGGGGCAAGTGCTGCACACGAGGGGGTGGGTGGCCAGCATCATGCCCGGCCGCCTTTGTCTCCCCAGTGCTGATGTTATTAACGCTGCCCCATTTGCTCATTTAAGACAGAGTCGACCTAGGGGAGGCCCAATATTGATCAAAATATTTGCCCCTGTTGTTGGTCGTGAGCGGGAAACGAACTGGGGTCGGCGGATTCGTAGCACAGCGCGCTAACGTGCGACGCTACAGCTCCCCACACATACGCACAACATTTTACTACAACAACCGCCGTTCTCCCCTAAGTCGCGGTGACATCCTCACGGGGCTTGTGCCAGGGTAGGTGCACCTTGCTGCCACGTGAAGTGTCGAAGGCTTGCTGGCAGGTCATTTGACAGACTCAGGTGCCATGGGTTGACTGAGATGACTGGCACCTGTGTTCACCACTATGCCAACTTGCAGTGTTTTAGCCGCCCGGCGCTCCGCTCGGTGTTGTGAGTTTCGCTCCTATGCCCTCCGTTGAGGGCGACTGCCTCCAACTGCCCAGTAGCGTCCTTTACGAGCCTCCTTCATAGAGGCCATAGAGGCCGATCTTGACGCCGCTTGTACCATCGGCAAGTCCACTCAGCTCCACATCCTCTGGTACCACATCAGCCCCATCTCTTGTCTAGCCCGTCCCGCGCCCGTTTCATCTCCCTTTATTCGGGTAATCAGAAGCTGTTTTGGCATGTGGGCTACACGATCCAACCAACGCAACCATGCCTGCTGGGGGAGCTATTTGATGGGACCATGTCCAAATCGTTAACGGATCGGTGTGCTCCTCATTAGAAGGGTCCACGTTTCACAAGCCTCGAGAAGGGAGGGCCTAACTGTCTGGCCGAGAAGACCCAGAGCTTCGTGTGGCGTGATAGACCAGGTAGCTTCCACAGGGCATTACGCAGCCGTGTGTTTACATACATACGTGTGGAGTGACAGACCAGGTAGCTATCCCACAGCGTTATGCAGCTGATTAAAGATAGTGCAGCTCACCTGGTCATAATAAGCACACCATATCGACAAATTACCATTTTATAGCTTAAGGTATACCAAGACAAAGAACCCCCGTATAACCTTAACAAACTGTCGGAGCAAGTGCTGTTAGCGAGCACCTATGAAGGCCGGCACGTCACACGAGGGGGTGGGTGACCAGCACCACTCCCGGCCGTTAAGGTTAACGCCGCGTACACGGAACTCCCGTATTGACTTTTACAAATTATTGTGGCAATTGATCCTCGCGAGCCCATATGAAGGCCGGCACGGCATACGTGTAGGTGGTGTAACCAACACCGTACGCTATTGTCTCCCATGTTTACACATCGCACTCGTGGTAATTCATACCGATTTCACCTCGGAGAGGTTCTGGACTGGTTCAGATGTCACTCACCGCCGATGTTTGCCGTGAACGTGAATCGACAAAGACCGATCACCGAGTTCGTAGCGCGGCGCGCTTACACACTCACAACTATTGTAACAACAATGGGCACTATTCGCCACTAAGTAAGCGGTGGCGGCACTACAGCGCTTGTGCCAGGCTAGGTGCTTACAATGCCACCCACCCTATACTTCCCTCTCAAACTACTCTGGTTCTCAACCAGCTTCGTACAGGCTCATGTAACACATACAAAGACCTCCCGTATCGCCTTAACAAACTGTACGAGCAGATCGTATGAGAAAATCTGAATCAGAATATGCATTTATACAGGAGGAATCCTATGAGCAATAAAGCTCTTTTTCACAGATGTCCATAAGGGGCACGGGGTAAGAACGTTACAACAACAAACAATGCAAAAACAGGATATAGCAGTGCAAAGTACAAGAAAGGTAAACACATACAAATCAAACTAAACCATCGCCATCCTAACAGGAAAAGCCCCCTCCTACCTACCACCCCCTCTTACCAGACAAAGGAGGGGTGGGTGGCCAGCACCACGCCCGGTCGCCTTTGTCTTCCCAGTGGCGATGTTACGCACCGCACCAGGTACTCATTTGAGGCCGTGTTGATCTCGGGCCGATTCAAATAATCACCACTGGTATTGGCCGTGAGCAGGAATCGAACACGCGTTGCCGGGTTTGTAGCACAGCGCGCTGCTCAGTGCCAGATTTTTGTAGTAGCAAAAGTGGCATATGCTACGGGCCTCGCACTTTCAAGGGCCCCGCGTTAAATGCTTTCAAGCTATTAATTCCGGTTCAGTGATTCTGCACTTGCTCTATTACTATAGTACTATACTGCCTTAAACTTTTATGAACGACTGGGTGATTAAGGTTAGCGATTTGTCGTGTTATCTGGCTGTATAGCAAATTAAAAAATACAATAACTTTACTAGGCAAGTCATTTTTTTTTATATTTATGTGCTTTTTTTATTTAGGGCCCCTTTATAACATATGCTACAGGCCCCGCACTAGCTTAATCCGGCACTACCGCTGCTCCCCATTCACCCATAACCGTAACCCCTGATATGCACACGGCAGGGCTCGCGGTACCAACACAAGGCAAGTTACAACTCTGTATGGACAGCATAACGATAGGAAGAGAGTCTCACCCAACTTCCTCTAAGCCTCCTTCACCTCCAACTCGGGACTCCCGGTTCTAAGAACCCCTGACACAATCTCGAGCAAAGCGTCTCCTGCTCGCCGTATTTAAACTTCTCGTCCTCATTTTTCCACTTGAACAATGACGTGGTTGATTCGCCCCCGCCCCTCTTCCTCCCCCTCTCAGAAGGGGGGGGGGGAGGGGGGGCTGTCCATAAATATTTGAAGCAATTAAACATAACTTAATTGCTCAGTCGTAATCACTGGCGATTTGGGATGGGAGAGAGGTCACAGGTGTGTGGCCCCCCGTGTATTCGGTCTTCATCCCCCAAAGCCATTAGCCGATAGCACCTCCTCTAATTGATCACCGAGGGTGTGACCCCCCTGAGTAATTCCGTGCGGTCAACAACAGTATAACAAGTTAGATCTTAACGGGCTCATCTAATTCCAAATATATAACAGCCCTAAAGACGAGGTCGGTCTGTGTGTTCGGAGTCCTCCGGCTACAGGAGAAGTGGATTTTGGGTTGATCTTTCGGGGGGCCAAAATATGCTAGTTTGTGCGTGATATTTTGGTCTCAGATATTTAATCGGCGTTAACATGCAAATGAATGTCAAAACAATCGTCAATAACACTGAATGTGTGAGGCCTTAAAAGGAACATATATAATAGGTGACGTTTTGAGCAACGGACCTTTTACATCACGTAATGTGAAGGGTCATTTCCCGAAGCGTCGCTCATTGGAAATGTTTCCTTTTGCGGCAAATGTGTTAGAGTTTTGTTTGTTTGTTATTAATGCGCCACTGCCAACGCAGCAGCAGCATCACCACCAGATGACGTGCTTTGTATTAAAACTGGTCGAATCGTGACATCGCAGGACCATGAGAGATTACTTAAGTCCTTCAACCAGTGGTGTATCGATCATGGCTGATGACTGATCCAAACCCGTAGTTTTAACTGCCACGCAGGGAGATCGAACCGCTGACCCCTGGAGTGTATAGTCCTGTGTGCTGACCACGACACCGCTGTGACAGTGATAGACCAAACCTGGTCATTTCCGTAAGGTAGAGTTTACACCTTTTTGGGCCCAGAGTAAACATTTGTGCAGTTGGAGGCAGCATCACCCGAGGGATGCAAACGTCTTTACAGCGGCCAATAAAAGTTCATTGGTGGAGTGTTATCATAAAAGAAAACGTGAACAAATATTTCCCTTTGACGTTAAAGATAACTTTACCGTGGGTCTAAGTGAAACACTGGAAAAATCCACAACCACGTGTGGAGAGCACTATCCGTGGAAAAAAAAACCGGCTTTTACCTTGCACAGGCCTGGGACCCTACCCATTGATTTGAAAATGAAATGTCATCATCACACGATTCACCCACCCTTCAGTGGGCTGCTTCACAAATATTGAGAGTAATAATTAAAAATTTGAACTGGCTGCCGGACAGGATTCATTCTCTCGGAGAGAGAGAACGACAGAACATTGGGAAGGCAGCAATCAGGTGATGAGTTGTCACCAACAACCGCCCAAGCCCCGCGGTCCTCTATATATGTATTCAGGTGTTTCTCGGCCAATTAATGGGTGCTTACATGTGGGAGGAAACCAGAGCACCGGGAAAAAAACCCCACGCTTGCCAGGGGGAAACGCTCTATCCCCGTACAGATGGAACAGGTGGTGTTGACACTCTTGCTCGACCGCCTTCTCATGGCAAAGCCAGCGGTACAGCTCCTCCTCGACGCCCAGGGGAAGGGAGTTTTACAGCAGCGTCTGCCGTGTGATCCGCCAGCCCTCTCTGCTGCCTCCACAGCGCTGGGTTACAGGTCACGTGGATAGCCACCACTGCTTAGCGAAGTGCACAAACCACACCCCATGCATGACACCTCGTTGGGACGGTTGGGTTATACATTAACCTACTTGTTGCACTACCTATACACATAATTGTTTCCCATCAGTTAGAGGGCGATATTTAATCACGGAAATTTAACGGCCTTCAATTAATACAACTTAGCGCGGGAATAAAAAAAAAATCTTGATTTGAAGCTTTCTTGACTGCAGGAACCCATACTCTTTGATTATTTCGGTAAAGTCACGTAGTTAGTTTTATTTCTAACTATGTGACTTTACCGAAAGAACCAAAGCGTATATTTAAAATGTAATCAGAAACCCCCATTGCAGAAGGTGTACGTGCATTGCTTTTTTTTTTCAGGGAGACATTTGTAAAGTTGATCCCACCAGCCGCTTAAAACGAATTATCTCGACACACGCTGCGAGTCTGTTGCCAAGTGAGTGAAACAATACGAATTTCATTCTTACCAAGAACACCAAAACTTGACTTAAAGCTTTTGTGACTGCAGTAATTCATATGTTTTGGGTCTTTCGGTAAAGTCACGTAGATAGAAATACAACTAACTACGTGACTTTACCGAAAAAACCTAAGAGTATGAATCCTTGCAGTCACGAAAGCTTCAAATCTAGAATCCCTCGGGAGGGACACGTGGTGGTGGTGGGAGTGGGAAGGAGGGAAAACCTCGGATCTGACACCACGGCCCGCCTCCAGCGTGCGCGCCGCCAAGTCATCGGAACGGCAAAAATACCCCTCGTTCATCGTCGTCGTCGCTTTTGTTATCGCTAGCCACGATCAATCCACTGCTGGATGAAGGCTCGCTCCAACCACCACGACGATGATGTTAAACCAAATAGTCTGGATGCGAAACAATTACCCCAGCAATGTTCGTCAATAACACTGAAATACTAAATAAATAAATGCCTACGGGATACGAAAAACGTCCATCCCTTTATAAGGCCGCCGTGTCATCGGCGGGCGCGTTTTGTGGTTCCGTGTTTGCGCACCACTCACTGACTTACACAGCATCACAAACGGACTGACTACAAGGAGAGAAAGATAATAATCATGATATTGATAACGCGCCAGATTTTTGTCGACAAGACAAGAGCGCATCACGCGTGTGCGTAGTCGTCGGCTCGCTTTAACCCAAGACGGAGGTGGTGGCGGCACAAAATGTGCGAGAATGTGACCGGTCCAGTTGGCGGCATTGGAACCTGCAGGTCGCATAAAGGAGAGCTACGCGTCGAGAGAGACGATCCCGCACTTTTAACTAAATCGGTCACTTGTGGATAAACTCTGCGCATATTCTGTTTCCTCGGGAATAGTTTTATACTGCACTTTACATGTATGTTTGATGTTGAACTTCTGTCGCACCGTACGTAGCCAACCGTGCTGATAGGAGGTACTTGAGCTGTGTTCACGCTCCCTGGGAGGCATCGTGCCCCCCTTTAGAGGAGGGGGGCACGATGGCTCTAGCTTCCTCCTCTTTCTCGTGGCCGAGGAGTGATCCGCAGCGCGCCGTCCCGAGCTGAGCTACCGAGGAGGAGGCAGCGGCGGCGTCTCGCCACCTTCCCTCTCCATCACTGCGGTGGGGCTCATGAGAGAGACCTGGGCTTGCTGGAGCCGCCTCCATTATTTTGATTATTTCTTTGCTATAAATGTCCACGCGATGAGCCACTTCGTTGAGCTGTCATTTGTGGCCAGGTCGTGTCTGAAAAATAAGTTGATGGCTCAGTGGGCTTTAATGGGTAAGATGGAAAAAATTGTTTAGTTTTATTTGTCAATTTATTATGAGTTTTATCTGTATATGTATTTTAAAGTGATTTGTTTACAATTTCCGATACTTTGCACACCTATTGTGTTTGCATTGTTGTAACGTTCTGATCTGCTCTCTACTGGACATCTGTGAAAGAGAGCTTTATAGCTCATCGGATTCCTCCGGTATGAATAAATATTCAAATTATATACGGAGTCCCTTGTCATGTCCCTACAATCTCTACCACCATCACCGCACCACACACCACCATCACCACACCATGCACCTCCGATTAGCATGGTTGGCTACGTGCGAAAGAATTCAACATTCATGCATGCACAGTTTTCAAATCGACAACATGAGAACCATTTCATTTAATATGTGTAACATTGAATTATCATTGCAATATTGGCTGCGAAAACCCACGTGTTCAATTGCAAATTGCGTTTTGTGTGTTTCAGCTCTCGCTAATGTTACAATTTCACTCATTTAGAAAGCATGTGTAGTGGCATAAAAGGGGTCACAATGGCGTTAGCGCAAACTACTGTCACGAGAGTGGAAATGCACGTCGGGAGTCTCTGCCACCAAAATAGGGTTGACATGGAAGCCGGCCATAGGGGGCATAGTTCTGGTGAGGGTCGGAGAAAGAGCAAAGGAGAACGTGATACTCTGCGTGAACCCGAAAGGGCACGCGACTGGGACAGGGTAGCGAGGGGGCCCGAAAGGGGGCTCGGGGGACACGTGATGAGGGCCTAGAAGCTAATGGAGAGATCAGAAAGGGGCGTGGCCGAGGACGGGGCAAGGCCACGCTCAGCGGCATAGAGCCGGGGTCGTGAGAGCGATCGAGGGTCTCTGGGGGAGGTCGGTGCGTCCTATGGTCTTCGGTCCTCGCTCTTCGGTCTTCGCTCTGGGTCGTCGGTCGCATACGAGATGGGATGGTCGGCAATACGTTACTGACCGAACGTGTCATAGAGTTGCCCTGTTGGGATCTAGTTAATAACCCTGTTGGGGTGTTGAAATTAACGTGTGGCCTCCAAGTTCAAGTGTGTGCCTCCATGAAGAACACTACACATGTGTAGGACTCGTACTCGGGTTGTCTTTCTCTCTTTATTTTCCTCTGTAGAGTCCACCTCCGCCGCGCCACCGCTCCGCGTCTCGGTGTTGTATACTAACCCTTCTTCCAAAATTGAGATTAATAATATTTGATGATATTTTTATATATTATCTTTTTACTTGTTTTTTTTTTATGAAGGAAACACACCAAAGCGCAGCAAACTGCAAAACACCAGGTGTTGTTAAGTAATGAACTGGAGGAGGGCTAGGATGGCAGAATTTGCAACCTTGCTTCAAGGAAAGATAAGGCCTGATGAACGGGCACATGTCACCCGTGCAGGCGGCAGAGACAGTGGGAGTGTCAGCCAGACATAGTTAAGGCAAAAAGCCAACCATCCGGCATGGTTTT